TCCCTGCGTAAGCCTCTTGGGATAGGACCCAGGTCAACTCTTTTCATTTTTTTGTGTGGAATTTTTCAACATATGACCGATGCCCACCTGTAAAGCTGTACTCCATCTTTACAACACTCAGTGAGGTGTGTGCTTTTACCTATAAAAGAACTAGAGGTAGACAGGCAGGAGTACTTGCACCAGGTCATGGGCTGATGGACATCTGGGGTCCGAGGTCAGACCATCTCTCCAGATTCCTGGCTCTCACGTCTCACTAACAGGGCACTTACTGGATAATTACTGTGATGTGAGGGAGAGGTAAGCCCTACCACTAATCCCATCACTACTGGAATAGTCCAGGAAAGGCACCTGCTAAAGATTTGTGTGACTTGATAGAACACAGACAAGGGTACCATTCTTGCTGAAGAAGAAAAATCCACCCACCTCTGTGCATCTGGGTATGTGACAAGAGACAGAGAGGTAGAGCTAAGCAGCCAGGACAGATCTTGGGACTAGGCAGGATTCAGCCAACAACCCCAGTGCGGACAATCTCCTTGTCTACAACATCTGGGGTGATTGGTTAGTGGCTGAGCCACATAATCATTGACTATGTTTAATATCATTCCTCACGAGATCTGTTCTTGGTCAGTCCCAAAGTGTCATGTCACCTTGGAGAGCTCTCTCTGCCTCAAGTTACAGTTCTACAAAAGAGAATGAGCCTATCATACTCCCACCAGCCACCCCCAGTCAGCTCTGAGGACATTGCTACAGCAGGAGAGGTGACAGCCCAGATTCTCCCCAGGCTCCTCTGGGACACCACCCAAGCCCACAGCATCTTCCACCCCAGCATGCTCCCTCCCATGCCCACAGCTCCTGCACCCCAATTTCCACTCCTGAAGCTACAGCTCCCCACCCACTGGCCCACAGACCCAGATCACTACTACAATGCAGAGCAAGCTCAGAAGAACTGAGGGAAAATCACAGGCCTTAGAATAGTCTAAGAGACCTTCAGATGGTCTCTCAAGGCCTTTCTGCCACAATGGCGCTGGGTGGCAAAGCCTTGATGAGCACACAACGTGTGGAGCACTGCCTAAGTCTCTCAGCACGTCACTTAACCTAACTCAGAAGTCACTGGCTGGCCTTGGTGTCCCCTAGAGCTGTATGGCTTCAGCCAATCTCTGTGTCTCCATGTTCTCATCAGCAAAATGATGATAATTTTAGCCCTAATAGGTTGGTTGTGATGATGAAATGAGTTACTATAGTTGATTCTTGGTATTCAAGGTAGTGATGTTCTGTGAAGTTGCTGCACATCAAATTGGCAAATATTCAACCACTGCCCCTCGGGAAGTACAGGAAGGATTAGGCGCCTGCGAGCAGTCACATTTCTATCAGCCCTTCAGTACATAACCTGGCTTTATGGGTTTCCGTTTGAAAATACATGATTTGACATCTGTTGTAGATTCTTTCACGTGACCTCATAGCCGACAACACTACTACTCATGCCCAGATGAAGCTTCTCTAACACGCCTACTTTCCTCGTCAGGCAGGTTATAGCCTTTTGGAGCTTACAAGCCCTAGACAGCGCTTCAGCACTATACTTGGCAGACGTTTTTGTTGTTCTTTTTTTTTATTTATTGAACTATAATTGGTGTGCACTGTTATACTAGTTTCAGGTGCACTACGTGCTGATTCCACAATTCTGTACATTACTCAAGGGCGCACTGCGAGAAGTGCAGCCACCATATGTCATCGTACATTATTGCAATAATGTTAACTCTATTCCCAATGCTGGACTTTTCATCTCCATGACATTTATTTTGTGACTGGAAGTTTTTACCTCTTAATGCCTCTTCTCTGTGTCACCCATCCCCACTCACCCAGCTCCTCTCTGCAAATACCACTTTGTATTTAAGAGTCTGTTTGGTCTGTTTATTCATTTGTTTTGTTTTTAGATTCCACATGTAAGTGAAATCATGTAATATTTGTCTTTCTCTGTCTGACTTATTTTACTTAGCCTACTACCCTCTAGATCCATCCATGTTGTTGCAAATGACAAAGTCTCATTTTTGGGTATATGGTATATTCCATTGTATGTATACACCACCTCTTCTTTATCCATTCAGCTATCAATGGATACTTGGGCTGCTTCCATACTTGGCAATTGTAAATGATGCTTCAGTGAACATAAGACTGTACATATCCTTTGGAATTAGTGTTTTCATTTTCTCTGGGCAAATACTCAGTAGTGGAATTACTGGATCATATGGTAATCCTATTTTTATTTTTTTGATGAAACTCCATACTGTCTTTCACAGTGGCTGCTCTAGTTCACATTCCCACCAACAGTGCATGAGAGTTTCCCTTTCTCTACATCCTCTCCAACACTGTTATTTCTGGTCTTTTTTATTCCAGACATTCTGACAAGTGTGAAGTGATATCTCATTGTGGTTTTGATTTGCATTTCCCTGATGATGAGTGATGTTGAACATCTTTTCATATGTCTGTTGGCCAGGGGGTTTCTTCTTTGGAAAAATGTCTATTTAGGTCCTCTGTCCATTTTTAAATCAAATTGTTTGTTTGTTTTTTTAATGTTGAGTTGTATAGGGTCTTTCTATATTGTGGATTTTAACCCCTTTATTGGCTATATCATTTACAAATATATTCTCCCATTCAGCAGGTTGCCTTTTTATTTTGCTGATGTTTTCCTTCTCTGTCCAAAGGCTTTTTATTTTAGTGTAGACTCAGTAGTTTGTGTTTTTGTTTCCTCTGCCTGCAGAGATATATCTAGGAAAATGTTGCTAAGGCTAAGCTAATGCCAAACAGATTACTGCTTATGTTTTCTTTTAAGAGTTTTATGGTTTCAGGTCTCACATTCAGATTTTTTTTCACATTCAGATTTTTAATTCCTTTTGAGTTTGTTCTGGTGTATGGTGTAAGACAGTGGTCAGTTTCATTCTTTTGCATGTGGCTATCCAGTTTTCCCAACATTGAGGAGCATGTTAAACCATGAAATCACCAACAAAAAGCACAAAAACAAGAACAACATGGCACCATATAGGCATGAAAAAGGACAATAGGACCTGAAACAAGAGGGAAGAGCATTGCCTTGTTCAACCTCAGCTGGGAACACGTACACTGGGCAGCTCAAATGTCTCACTGCTATGACTGTGAAATGACTGAAAACATCACTGAGTGTTGATTTGGGAGCTACACATAAATGTTAGTAAGTAGGTGAATTTGCAAAGATGGAATCCACAAGTAGTGAGGATAAACTATATAGAGAAAGTCTTTAGTATAGTGCCTGGTGTGTAGGAAGCATTTCATGAACAGTGTTACTTTCTACACTCTACAATGCCTGCTGAGACAAATATTGCTACTCTCATTTTATAAATGAGGAGAGAGAGTTTGAAGGACTGACCCAGGCCACAGAGTTGGCAGTGATGGTGTCAGAACTTGAACCCAGGTGTACGCCCAGCCTATTTTCTATGCTGCCTAGAACCGCGGGCCCCTGCTCCTTCCAGCTGGCCTCTGCACCAGCATACAGGCACTGGCTGAATATGATACACATGCAAGGCAGGCCCCTCCCACACAAACAGAATGCCTCATGTTTACACAAGAGCTTCCTTTCCCAAACCTCCTTAACTCTGAGATGCCTTAGGAACAAAGAGATTGCTAAGCTTCCTGCCCTTCTGGCTGTGGCTCTCCCATGCCTTTTCTCCTCCCTGCCTCAGCACCTCCCACCCCACGCCAGCCACCAAGGCAGCCTGGCAGAAAAGCTTAGGGATGGGTAACTGGTTAAAGATCTTACCTGACCAAGAGCAGAAGTCCCAGGAGAAAGGAAAGCAAGAGAAGGTGATGTGGAGGTTGAGAGGCCTGGGCTCAGTGACCACCACAAGGCTCTCCACAGAATAGGGAGCAGAGGGGAGGCGGGGCAGGCAGAGGGGCAGGTGTGAACAGGCAATGAGAAAGGCCCCAGAGCCCACATCCCAGTGGGTCTTCAGCGAACCAGCACCCATCTGGACCAGTCAGATAACCCTGCCACCCTCCTGGGCCCAGGATTCTCTGAGTGGGCTTCAGATTCCCTCTGAAACCTGGAAGGGCATACCATCCTGCATTTCCATTTACCTGTTACGAGGGGTCGGGAAGCCATGGCCTGTCAGCCAAATCCAGCCTGTTTGTGTTCCACTCGTGAGCTAAGAATGGTTTTGACACTCTTCAAAGTTTAAAGAGAGGGAGGAGGAAGAGGACAGGACATCATATGGCACCCACAAAGCCTAAAATATTTACTTTTTTGTAGGAAAAGTTTGCCAGCCCTGAACCAGATTGACCTAGCCATGGGGGCCCTACACCCACCTCTCCCTAGCAGGTGGCATTGGGTATGTCATCTGAGCTCTATAAAGCTCAGTTTCCCCAACTGTAAAGTGGAGTCAGTAACCCTATGTCCCAGGCTGTGAGAATTCAATCAGGCATAATCTGTGCTGTGCCCTCAGCCCAGAGCCCCTGAGCTCATAGTGTATGAGAGCTGATGGTGGCCATGGCAACAGTGGTGTGTGACACAGTGTGTGGTGGGAAAATGGGGGAAAGTGTCTCCCCCTGACCGACCTGGATTGTCCCTATGTCACAGACAAGTGGAGAAACTGGAACATGGGACAGTGATTCATCTGAGACCAAACAGCCATAAATAGGTTGTCACCAGGACAGCTTTCCACAGACTCATGAATGCTCTTGGGGCCTCCCTTCCACTGCCCCTCCCCGTGCCTCCCACACCTTGTGCTTTGCAGCCCTGCCACCTTTCTCCAGTCTTCTGCCCTGGGTCCCTCTCTCACAGGACTCCACTCTTCTCAAGAAGCTGGCTGACCACTACCTCTACCAAAAGGTACAGTGATTTCAGATCCTAGGGGTATTTTCATTTAACAGGTAACTCCTAGACCCCCAAGTATCCACAGATATTTATCTCTAATTGTGTAATGTCGGCACAGTGACAGGCATTGGGAGTTATGCTGAAAATCACAGATGGCCACTTCTGTCCAAAGCATCCTTTTATTTTCTCATGTTCCTTCCAACGTTGGGACCACAGTGTGGCAAGCCAGGGCCTTGGCTCTCAGATCAACTATGTAAATCCAGTCTCACATGCTCAGCTCATGACCTGGAACAGACAGATGAGTGTAAGTAAGCACATGACATGCTCACAGAATTCAGAGAAGCTCTGATCCAGCTGGCCCTCCAAGTCCTCTGAGTGTGGGGTTCACCTTTTCCCAGCCCCTGATGCCAAAAGAGGTCTGGTGTGTCAGGGTTCCCATAAGGGGGCCCAGGCCAATGCCATCTTTTATAACTACCAGTATCTATATTTTATAAAATGAGGAAGTGTCCAAACAAGGTTATGAAACTTGTGATCTATTTTAAATATTTATGCTGCAAAATTTACACTTTCATCTGAATAATGCAATCTTGTGGTGCTAATGTACAAAATAATTTCAGGATTTATAACAAATATTTACTTATCCTGAACTCTTACACCAAATTGTCCAATGGCAAGATAGAGAGCAGTTTATATTTGATAGAGAGCAGTTTATATTTTTTAAGATTTTATTTATTTATTTATTTATTTATTCATAGAGACACATAGAGAGAGACAGAGAGGCAGAGACACAGGCAGAGGGAGAAGCAGGCTCCACGCAGGGAGCCTGACATGGGACTCGATCCAGGGTCCCCAGGATCACACCCCAGGCTTGCAGGCAGCACCAAACCGCTGCGCCACCGGGGCTGCCTTAGATAGCAGTTTAAAGCTGAACAGCATGTACCTTTTTTGTTGTTCTGTCACCGTGTCTCTGTGTCTGCATCACTTATTGAGAGAGGAGGTCCTTGAAAATGAGAGCCAAGCCACCCAAGCTCTTGCCTGTTTCTCTGGGAAATGCCTAGGTGGCTCTCCTACCACTGGGCCATGCTGAGTGGCTGCTCCAGTCCCAATCCTGAACCTCTATTCTTCTCTTGCATCAAGCCTGCCTCAAAAGCCACTGGCTTCCCCTCCTGGCCACATGCAAATTCTTTTTCTGATGTAGGAGACCTGCCCCCACCCTGTTCTGCCCTCCTTCTCCACCCCACCCCCCTGCTTGTAGGAGAGTCCGCAACTTCATCTCCTCTTAGTGCTCAAAAAATAACTCTTAAGTACAGTATTGGAAAGGGAGAGTAAGTCTACAACAGAAAACAGTACCTCAGCCAGGTGATCAAGGTCAACACGAACAGTCACAGGTCATGTTGATAGTACATACCCTTCATATGTAGTAAACCAACAGTGACAGGTCATGTTGATAGCATGTATTCTTGCTACATAATGCAAAGGGCACTTTACCTCTGTGATCGTCCTCTCTAAAAGCCATAACCCCAGCCTAATCATGAGAAAAATACCAGATAAATTCTAATTGAGGAACATTCTACCAAATTCCTGACCGTACTCCTCAAAACTGTCAAGGTCATCAAAAACAAGAAATGTCTGAGAAACTGTCACAGCCAAAAGCAGCCTAAGGAGACATGACAGCTGAATGTAATGTGGCATCCTGGAGCAGAAAAGGGACATTAGGTTAAAAAAAAAAAAAAGAAATCTGAATAGACTATGAAATTTACTTAATGATAATGTATGGAGGGATCCCTGGGTGGCGCAGCGGTTTGGCGCCTGCCTTTGGCCCAGGGCGCTATCCTGGAGACCCAGGATCGAATACCACATCGGGCTCCCGGTGCATGTAGCCTGCTTTCCCCTCTGCCTGTATCTCTGCCTCTCTCTCTCTGTGACTATCATAAATAAATAAAAAATAAATTTAAAAAAAAATGATAATGTATGGATATTGGTTTTTTGATAGTGATGTATGTGCCCTACTAATACAGGAGGTCTGTAACAGAACAGGAGAGTACACAGGAATTCTCTGTACTACCTCTGCACAAGAATTCTATAAATCTAGAAATGTTCTAAAATAAAAAGCTTTTTTAATAATAAAAAGGGGGCACTTAGGCAGCTAAGTGGTTGAGCATCTGCCTTCCACTCAGGGAATGATCCTGGGGTCCTGGGACCAAGTCTTGCATTGGGCTCCCAGAAGGGAGCCTGCTTCTCCCTCTGCCTATGTCTCTGCTCTCTCTCTCTCTCTGTCTCTCATGAATAAATAAAATAAAATATTTTAAAATAAAAAATAATAATAATAAAAGACTTATATGCTTCAGTTGCCTTCTTAAGAACAGGAAAGGGGCGATAACCATAGCATCTATCTCATGGAACTATTGACAAAATTAGTATGTAAAGCTCTTAAGCAGAGCCTGAATCAGAAAATGTTTGCTATGACATTATTTTGTGGGGCCAAGAGATAATTTCTGGAAGGAGGGCTGCCCAACATGGGGAGAACTGCATGGTCAGAGGCCCTCCCACACGCCCCAGGTCACACCATGGAGATGGCCATCGCATCCTCAAGAGGATGGAGTCCAGGAGAGGAAGGGGAAGCCGGCGTCTGGGAGACCTCCCATAAGTGAGCAGGCTGGGGAGCCTCCTTGGAATGTGGGGCGGGAAGTACAGGGTGTTGCTGTGACTGCTACAAAGGCATCCGGGTCTCTGTGTTCATGACCCGGGGCACCTGTGAGCACAATGTCCGGAAGAGCTATTCCCGGCCCAGCCAACACACAGTGCCGCCTCCCTCGCCACCCACGTCACCCATGAGAGCTGCGCAACCGAGCCCTGCTGAAGCACCCCACCTCCACCAGGAATGGTGGACTCAGCAAGGCCCCCCAGATAAACCACTGGGTAACCTGGGCCTCCAGCGCCCCCACCAGCCAGGCCGCAGCAAGGCCCTCTCACCGTGGCCAGAGCAGCGCGGGCCCTTCCTCTGAGCATTTATGGAGCACCGGCCGAGCAAGTGCCCAGGGGCACTGGCTTTCCCGACAGGTGGCGCAGAGCCCTGTGCAGGGCCTGAACTGGAAGTCGCAAGAGCTGGATGTGAATTCACCCTCATCTCAGATTAGCTGGAGGGCCTTCAGCGAGTCACCTCACTTCTCAGTGCCTTGGCTTCTTCTCTGTCGCTGGAAGAAATACCACCTGCCAGGAATGTTTCCGAGCCTGGGAGAAGCGCAGGAAATCGTGTGGAGGGAGGCGCTCCGTTAGCCCCAAAGCATGTGGCACTTTTGCTGACGCTGCACCTGCACCTGCACCTGCACCTGCACCTGCACCTGCAGAGCAGGACCTGCAGCTCTGAGCGTCTGCACTGGGAGCAGGAAGTGAGCAAGGTGTTTTGTACTTCCGAAGACTTGCACCTAGGGGGCGCACGGAGGGCTCAGGCCGTAGAACATGTGACTCTTGATCTCTGCGTGGTGTGTTGAGCCCTATGCTAGATGTGGAGGTTGCTTAAAAATAAAATCTTTAGGGGATCCCTGGGTGGCGTAGCAGTTTGGCGCCTGCCTTTGGCCCAGGGCGCGATCCTGGGGACCCAGGGTCGAGTCCCGCATCCGGCTCCCTGCATGGAGCCTGCTTCTCCCTCTGCCTATCCCTCTGTCTCATGAATAAATAAATAAAACCTTTAAAAAAATAAGATATAATCTTTAAAAATGAACAAAAACAGGAGCCCCTGAGTGGCTCAGTCGGTTAAGCATCTGCCCTTGGATTCAGGTCATGAATTTGGGGTCCTGCATCCTGCTCCCTGTAGACTCCCTTTCTCTCTCTCAGAGACATGTGAGGACTGCCCTATTTGAATGATGACAAAACACAGGCCCAGAGTGCTGACGTGATTCACCCAAAGTCACAGGCTAGTGACACAGCAGCCATGGGATCCACTTTTCTTCTGATGTCGCCTCATCTCAGAGAGATAGGGTTTTGCTCTTGGCCTCCACTGCGCTCAGAGACAGGTTTCCTGAGTCTGCTCCTGGCATGTGGCTTGCTCGTTTGTCTCTCTGTGACTCCCGTTTTCCTCACCCGTAGTCTGGAGAGAATGAGCGAGAAGAACATTCGGTTCCACTCGAACAAAGCTCTATGGACCACCTGCTTTGTGTGTGAGGCACACCAATCAGTCTCTGCGGTACATACAAAAACAGAAAACACCTTAGTGCCTGCCCACAAGGAGGGCAATAATTAAATAGCAGTAATTAGTTATAGCAGTAGTTAAAACTTGGAAAACACCTTAGAGTTGTTTTTTTTTTCTCTCTCTCTCATTTTGCCTTCAAAATAGGCAGGTGTCACTGGCAGTGTTTCACAAACAGGGACCTGAGATGGAAGGAGCTAGTTCAAGTGAGAAATTTTAATGTTCTCACCAAATCCCATTATACTTACCAGGAGGCACTGTCTCTACATTTTTTTTTTTTGGAGGTTCCACGCCCAGTGTTCCAGCCCTCACATCCCTAAGATCAAGACCTGAGCTGAGATCAAGAGTCAGATGCTTCATCGCTTCATCGTCTGAGCCACCCAGGTGCCCCAGAGGCACTATCTCTAAAAAACTAGGATCTAAAACAAAATTTGATGAGGGCTATTGTTTCATCTAGGACTTTCTCAGCTGCAAAGGACCAAAAAAGACAAAGAAAAAGTCAGAAACCCAATATGAGCTCACAAACTGAAACGCACAAGAGCAGGACTGGGCTGTTTGCAGTTTATGTGACCACAAAACCCTGGTTTCTCTCCCTGTTTCAGCTCTGCTTTGATCTCCTCCCTGAGCTGGTGTCTTCTCAGGCTACCTACCAGGACAAAATGAAGACTGCAGATAGCAGTTGTAGTTGATGCTTCCAGGCTTAAGCCTTGAGGAGCCCCCACTTTCTTCCAAACAGTCTCATTGGCTCCATTTGGAGCCCAGGCCCCTCCTACTCATAGCTAAGGCCTTGAAGACTTTGGCCAAGCCCACACAAAGCTTAAGTGCCAGGATGGGGAGAGGGTGGTTCTTAAAGCACAAGGGAGGTGCACAGGGATCCCTGGGTGGCGCAGCGGTTTGGCGCCTGCCTTTGGCCCAGGGCGCGATCCTGGAGACCCGGGATCGAATCCTACATCGGGCTCCTGATGCATGGAGCCTGCTTCTCCCTCTGCCTGTGTTTCTGCCTCTCTCTCTCTCTCTGTGTGTGTGTGTGTGTGACTGTCATAAATAAATAAATAAATAAATAAATAAATAAATAAATAAATAAATAAATAAAACAAGGGAGGTGCACAAAAGGATGAATGAACGGATGCTTAGTGGCCTATCGATGCACACATTAAAAGTGAATGACCCTGTCACCGACCTTAACTTGATTCAATGTCTTTGTCTCTGATTCTACCAACAGTTTTGCCCTCTTGGTATCTAACCACAGCCTCCAAGGTACTTATGTGTTTTCAAGATAGGAGAGGGTAAGCAAACACTCTAGAGTCCTGAATTTGGATTGGAAATAGCAGATTTTATGGCTTATTGTGCAGCAACTGTAGACCGAGATTTCCTATCTTCCAAGCAGGTCTCGGGACTCCATCTTTCCCTTCTGCTCACCTCCCCCATCTACCCAGGAAGTCAGCAAAACTTGACTGTTCCGATTCAGAAATGCCTCCCAGTTCTGGCCTCTTCTCTCCATCCCACAGCCAGTGCCTCAATGTCTGCCCAGCATCTCTCCCCTGGACTTGAAGTGTCTTAACCAGAAGCACTTGGGTAGCTCAGTCAGTGGAGTGTCTTTTTTTTTTTTAAAGATTTATTTATGATAGACAGACAGAGAGAGAGAGAGAGAGAGGCAGAGACACAGGCAGAGGGAGAAGCAGGCTCCATGCACCGGGAGCCCGACGTGGGATTCGATCCCGGGTCTCCAGGATCGCGCCCTGGGCCAAAGGCAGGCGCCAAACCGCTGAGCCACCCAGGGATCCCCAGTCAGTGGAGTGTCTTGATTTGGGCTCTTGATTTGGGCTCAGGTCATGATCTCAGGGTATTCCCCACCCCCACTCAGGCACATGCACATTCTCTCTCTCTCTCTCTCTCTCTCTTTCAAAAAAAAGGGGGGGTCTTAACCAGCGCCCTTGACTCCATCTCTCCCCACCCCGGTCTTCACCATCACCAGGGCTATTTCCCCATCAAATGCTAGCTAAGCCAAACCCCTACTGCATCAGGTAGGCTGCTGGACAAAAGCAGAAGGAACACCCAAAGGGGTTTCTTTTTTTTTTTTTTTTTTTAAGATTTTACTTATTTATTCGTTTGAGACAGAGAGAGAGAGAGAGAGAGAGAGAGAGAGAGAGGCAGACACAGGCAGAGGGACAAGCAGGCTCCATGCAGGGAGCCCGACGTGGGACTCAATCCCAGGTCTCCAGGATCAGGCCCTGGGCAGAAGGCGGCACTAAACCACTGAGCCACCCAGGCTGCCCCCAAAGGGGTTTCTGAAGAGAGTTTAATGCAGGGTGAAGTGAACTGATCAGGGTGGAGATGCACCTGGGGACTACCTGCCATGGGAAGCTTCCACTTTCCTGGGCCTGAGTGGCAAACAGAGGAAAGCCATGTACCAGAGCCAAGGAAAGCCAGAGCTATGGCCACTGCCTGAAATGTGACAAGGTGACGGGGGTGGGGGTGGGGGGGTTAGGGAAAATAAGTACCCCAACCTATCGCTCTTCCTGTCTTCCAACCACAGGGCCAGGGAGCCTAGGTGAAGCAGTGTATGGAGGAGAACAGGGTAGAGGATGACTGGACTAACAGGAAGTGGGGTGAAGAGAAGATAGCCAGCACACACACTTGCAACCTAGATCCACTCCTTCTCCATCTCAGGAGCAAGCCCAAGTTCGTGAGTCCTGTACACTAGGCACTCTGGCCACACTCTCTCCCTACAACAGCGGTTCCCATTAGTGCCTCCCACCACCCCCACGCCCAAGCTTATTACCCCAGACCTACAGTCCTTTCATGACTTCCCGCTTTGCCAGGTGCTATTCCCTCTGCTCATCTTACGCCTTCCCCACTTCCTACCCTCTCCCCTTCTTTACATGTCAAACTCCCATTCATCCTTCAAGACCTTTCTCTGATGGCACCTCCTTCATGCAGCCTTCACCAAGTCCCACACTCAGAGTATTTCCTCAGCTCCCACATAGACTCCATCAAGGCAGTCATGGCCTTGTTCTGGGACAGTTTGCTTGTCTATCTCCTTGTTCAGGCCATGAGCTCCTTGAGGTTGGGGATTGAGTCTACTCATCTCTCCATCCTTGGCCTAAACACAGCCCATAAATATTCATCGAATCTATGAATAAAAGATGAGGAGAGGCCTTCTGTTTCCTTCTAATTCTCACCCCCACCCCTCTTATTTTGCTCCCACAGCAGAGAGGCAGAGCAGGGCAGAGTAAGAAAGAGAAAGGGAAATGTTTACTCCAATATCCACCCAGGGGTTTTCTCTCCCAATCGGACTCCAGGCTCGGCCTGACATAATATGGGAAGTCTTTCTCCTTGGCCTTTCTATTACTGGACAAGTGCTAGGTTTGAGTTGAGTGGACCTAAGGGAACAGCTTTGTCTACCAGGCCCCTGCCTTACCCTCAGGACATTCTGTGGTAGCATCCACCCCACCAGGAGAGGCCCAACCATCCACTGTGGTCACAAAAGGGACTCTACTGCCCCTGCTCATTATAAGCCCATACATTTTGTCAAAGCCTGTCTGACTGGGCCCAGGAGGTAGCAGGGTGGTGAAGCAACAAGGCTCATTCCTTCCCATTCTACAGAATTCATCCATTTATAATGTGTACTGAGTGCTCCAAAGAGCCAGGCACTGAGGACACAGCCCTGAATGAACACAAAAGGTCCCTGCCTCCTGGACCTACAGTCTAGTGGGGGAGAAGATGTTGAACAAGTAACTGTTGAGACATTGTGTGGGGACTATAGAGCAGGGGAGGAGGCAGCAGAGGAAAGGAGCAACCAAGAGAATAAATGGAATGAAAGGAAGCCAGAACCAGAAGAATCCTCACAAACCAGCTCCTCTTCTCCCTTCTCCCTAAATTCCAGAACTCAAGGGACGTGGAGAGGAAGCACTACTGGCCAGGAGTGGTATTGTATCTGTTTCCTGGGGCTGCCAGAACCTACCACAGAGGGGGGTGTGGGGTTGAGGAGGGTGCTAAACAGCAGGAACATATTGTGTCATGGCCCCAGGGGCCAGAAGTCTGAAATGAAGATGTGAGCAGGGCTGGTTCTTATGGACATTGTGAGGGACAGCATCTCAGCCTCTCCCCCAGCCTCTGGTGGTCTGTGGGCCATCACTGCTGCTCCTTGGTCTGTAGGTGGTGTTCTCCCTGTGTCTTCACAATGTCTTCCCTTTGTCCGTGTCTCTTTCTCTTCACAGGGCCTTCATGAGTGTGTGTGTGTGTGTGTGTGTGTGTGTGTGAGAGAGAGAGAGAGAGAGAGAGAGAGAGAGAGAGAAATATATACTAAAAAAATTTACCATTTCAAGACGCCTGGGTAGCTCAGTGGTTGAGCATCTGCCTTCTGCTTAGGTCATGATCCCAGGGTCCTGAGATCAAGTCCCACGTGGGGCTCCCCTCAGGGAGACTATCTCTCCCTCTGCCTGTGTCCCTGCCTCTCTCTGTGTCTTTCATAAATAAAAAAATAAAATCTTAAAAAAAAATTTACCATTTCAACCATTTTGAAGCATAGAGTTCAGTGGCATTAGGCACATTCACAATGTTGGGCAACCATCACTACCATCCATCCCAGAACTTTTGCATCTTCCCGAACTGAAACTCTGTCTGCATTAAACACTAACTCCCCATTCCCCACTCCCCTGGCCCCTGGGAGCCCCACTCTGTGGGCTGTCTCTATGGGTCTGACTGTTCTAGGTACCTCATAAGTGGAATCGTATAATGTTTGTCCTTTTGTGTCTGGCTGATTGCACTTAGCATGACATCTTTCAAATTCATCCATATCAGGACTCCTGGGGGGCTCAGCAATTGAGCAGCTGCCTTGGGCTCAGGTCATGATCCCGGGGTCCTGGAATCAAATGCTGCATTGGACTCCCTGCAGGGAGCCTGCTTTTCCCTCTGCCTGTGTCTCTGCCTCTGTGTGTGTCTCTCATGAATAAATAAAATCATAAAAAAAAAGATTCATCCAAATCTGCA